GAATGGTGTTGATAATGTGAGAAATAATAGAGAAGTATGAAGGCTAATGGTGATAAATAAAAAGTGAAAAAATTAGTAGAAGTTAGTGTAATCAACAAAGGTTATTTGAACATTAAAGAAAAAGTGAAAATAAAAGACAAACCTAAAAGTTCTAATGAAAAAGAAGCATTCAAGCATTATTAAAAATCTCTAGCTGAGAGTTATTATAATAAAATATTTACAGTTAATCATTACTACAAAATGGTATTAGTGATAAGAAGCATATTAAGAAGAGTATCAGGGTTATGAACATAAAAATGAATTGATGAAGAATGGTGTTGATAATGTGAGAAATAATAGAGATATTAGTATAATAAATATAAAGGATACTGAAAGAAGAAGTCACAAAAAAGAACACATATCTGATACTCAAATAATGAATGACAAACATCTAAAAGATCTTGATCCTGAAATAGATTGTATTAGTAAAACTGCTGAAAGTGCTATAAATATTAGATGCATAGGTTATGATGAACTAAGTCTAAAGAATGAATGAAAATTGAAGGCTTACCTAATATACTATCTAATGAAAATATGCCAAAAAGGAGTTGTGGTATATACAGTGATAAAAAAGTGCTGATGATAGGAAAATTTATGAATAATGATGTTGAAAGTCATGTTGATATGGCTTCTGATCTTGGATGTTATTCTAAAAATAGAATTGGAGCTGAAAACAATGAGCAGAGGCCTGTTAATTAAGAGTTGATTGAAGAGATATATTCTGGGTTTTTTCCTTTCAAAGATAGTATTAATTAGTTAAAATGAATCTTGGGGATAAAGTAAGGTGATAGGAAATATATGAAAGAGTATTCTAAGCACTATAAAATTTGTGTAATAATGATAAATAGTAAGGTATCAGAAGATTGGAAGAGATTTTAGTACATTTGCAGTTTGAAGGATCATGATGATATTGAGTTCTTTCAACTCAAGATGTATAATCAAGCAAAAGAATTTGCATTTGTGATAGAAATGAAAAAGAAAGTTGAAAAAGATAAAACAACAGTCAAAAGTAAAAGAGAAGTGGATAATAAAAAAAGGATGGTTAATAAAATAGACACTGATGAAACTAACCTGATCGATAATGATTGAATGTGCTAAAAGAACAATAGAAAAAGTAAAAACTTATCCTTGCTGAATAACAAAATGACCTGACAGATCAAATCTGCCAATAAAGTTGCTAAAACTGAAATGAGTAATATAAAATACTATTACTAATGTGAAATAAAGATCCTAATATAGATGCTAAAAAATATAAAGAACAATTATATAAAAGATCCTGAAAGATTATATAATGCAAAACATTGTTGCTAGTTCAGAAGTGGTTATTATAATAAATATTGGAATTGTATAATGATGATGTAAAGTGAAAATTGAAATATTGTCAGACCTCCTAAATGCATGTCATCGAGACTGCCTCTAATGCGTGCATTTAGGAGGGCTACAATTAGAGAACAGCTAATAATATCACAGTACTTCCATTATTACGTGATACCAGATTATCACTCATATTTTATACATATTACAATATCATTAGACATTTACAAGTTCATACACTTTTTTTTTGTTTTTTAATAACTCTTTATTACTTTATTTATATAAAT